ACACAGAAGTTGTTTCAGAGCAGCCAAACTTGGCCATGTAAGAGTCACCCAGGTGGTGCTGCCTTTGAAGGTGTGAAGGGGTCGAGCTGAAGCTTGTCATTGTGTGGCAGAGTTGGAGGCCCCGAAGAGAGTGCAGGAGAGTCTATTAATGAAAGTACAGCCCAGTTGAAGTAGAAGACACACATTTTGGAGATGTCAGTACAATAGCATGACTACCAATAGCAGCAGCTGTGGAGTGGAGTCTACCTGAATTTAGAAAAGAAGCTAATGTGTGCTGCAGAGGGTGGGGATGGAGAAGTGACCCAAGCCCCTGGAGGACCCCAGAAGATTTCGAGTGAATCACAGATATTGTTCATTGAGTTATTTATTAACACTGTTGGAGTTTGGCTTTGTTTTGTTCAGATTGTGACTGTGCCCTGGTTCTTCCATCTTGAAGTAAGAAAATATTTAATTTATTTTTGATTTTATAGGAGTCCACAGTTGAGAGACTTTGGATTTTAAAAGAGACTTTGGATTTATTTTTAAGAGACTGAATTTTTAAAAGTGTTTGAATTTGTAAGACTGTGAGACTTTTTTTCTGTTTGTAAAATGTTTTATATTCTGATGTTTATATGAATGTGTGGTCTTGGGGATGAAGAAGTAAGAAAAGGTTGTGGGTTTATAGTGATTTGCTTATGTGCCAAGCTGATAAGGGGTCAGTTATGCAGGATAGTTTTATGTCAACGTGACACATGCTAAAGTCATCTGAGAGGAGGGAACCTCAATTAAGAAAATGCCTTCATAAGATCAGGCTGAATAGGCAGGCCTGTAGAGCATTTTCTTAGTTAGTGATTGATAGGGGAGGGCCCAGCCCATGGTGAGTGATGCTGTCCCTAGGCTGGTGGTCCTGGATTCTATAAGAAAGCAGGCTGAGCAAGCCATGTGGAGCAAGTCTGGAGGCTGTATTCTTCCATGGCCTCTGCATCAGCTTCTGCCTCCAGTTTCCTGTCCTGCTTGAGTTCCTGCCTTCACAGCGTTCGGTAATGAACTATATATGAAACTGTGAGGGAAACAAGCCTTTTCTTTCCCAAACTGCTTTGGTCATGGTTTTTCTTTCTTTTTCATTAATTTTTTTCATTTATTTTACATACCAACCACAGTTTCCCCTCCCTTCTCTCTTCTCATCTCCCGGCCCCATTTACTCTTCCTCCATTCAGAAAGGGGCAGGCCTCCCATGGGAGTCAACAAAGTTTGTCATATCACATTGAGGCAGGACCAGGATCCTCTCCCTGCATCGAGGCTGGGCAAGGTATCCTTCACATGCCAGGGACAGGTCCTGATCTCACTGCTAGGGGCCCTACAACAGACGAAGCTACACAACTGTTATCCACATGCAGAGGGCCTAGGTTGGTCCCATGCAGGCTCCCTAGCTGTTGGTCTAGAGTCCATGAGCTCCCACGAGCTCAGGTCAGCTGTCTCTGTGGGTTTCCCTGTCAGTTCATGGTTTTTCATCACAGCAATAGTAACCCTAACTAAGACATTCTTAAGAATTTTCTTTCGTGTGATAGATGACTATTAAATTTTATCAGATGCTTTTTCTGCATTTATTTAGATGATTAAATGATTTTCCTTTATTGTTGTGAATTACATTGACTAATTTTTGATCATTGAATCAACCTTATATTGGTAAAATAAATCCAGTTCATTCTTGTTTCATTATCTTTCTTGTTAGTTTCTGGATTTGGTTAGTAGTGTTTTATATTTCCCTTTTCTCTATGTTGTGAGAGAGATTGACCTATAAGGTTTTGTTTTTGTTATTGATGTTGGCATGTAGACTAGTTTCCTCATTATATGAACTGAAAAATGGTTCTCTTTTTTTGGTCTGTGGGTGAGTTTGCATAAGACCAATAATTCATTTCCTTCTTAATCCTTTGGAAGACACATCAGCAAAAGATCTGGGCATTGAGTTTTATTTGTGTCAGAGTTAAATGACAGTTTAAATTTCTTTAATACATGTGTGATGATTTAGCTTTTCTGCTTCAGGCTGTGTTAGTTTTGGTAAAATATGCCTTTTAGAAATTTTCTCATTCCATTTCTATTTTTTAATGTATTGCTATAAAATTTCCCACAGTGCTCTTATCCTCCTGATAACTTCTGTATTTTCCTTTGTAGCCCATTTTGTCAAGAATTTATCCATTGTATTAGCTTCTTTGCTCAGAGGAAAAAAAGCTTGTTTTTAAAAATCATGTTTTTAATATTTCATGTAAAACAAGTTAAAGCTGATATGCACATTGTGGTAGTTTAAATGTAATTGGCCCCCATAAGCTCATAGAAAGTGGCACTATTAGGAGGTGTGATTTTGTTGGAGTAGGTATGGTCTTGTTGGAGGAAATATGTCACTGTGAAGGTGGGCTTTGAGGTCTCCTATTCTTAATCTATGTCTAGTGTCATGGTTCACTTTCTGTGGCCTGCAGTTCCAGATGTAGAACTCTCAGCTCCTTCTCCAGCACTATGTCTGCCTGCACACTGACATGTCCCACTGTGATGATAATGGACTGAACCTCTGAACTGTAAGCCATCCAGGTAAATGTTTTCTTTTATAAAAGTTGCTGTGGTCATGATGTCTCTTCACAACAGTAAAAACCCTAACTAAGACACACATAAAATTAAATTACTTTGGAACATTAGGGGAAGTAATCAGAAGAGAGGCTGTTCTGTCCAGCTGGTTCTGTCTCCTGTCACTATTGGGGTCACTGCATTTTCTTCCCCCACAGTGCTGATCTGGACCCAAGACTCCGGGCTTGAGGCCTGTAGAAGCATTTCTGATGTCAGGCCCACTAAATCTTCAGAGAACTGTATACATGGCTCGTTTCACTATCAAACCTACCCCGCACCCATCACAGAGCCTCTGGGTCCCCTTCCCTACAGCAAGGATAGGCTGAAGTCCTGGAGATCCTGTCCATCTAACTCACTGTGATGGCTAGTATTGGTTGTCTATTTGCCTGGATCTGGAATTAACTAAGAGGCAAGCCTCTGGACACATCTGTGAGAGAATTTCTTGATTAGGTTAATTTAAATGGAAGACTTATTCTGAATGTGAGTGGCACCTTCCTATGGTGGCCCAGATACAAGGAGATCCAAGGTTTGCTTGGTTGTTGTGTCTCCCTGGAGAGTTCGTCTGTCCTATTGTTGAGGATGCTGCTGTCCTTTGTTTTCTTCAGAATCTGGCTTCTTTAAGCTTGCAACATGTGCTGAAGACCAGTGACTCCCCAGGAATCTTCCAGGTTTTCTGTGCCAGATTGGGACTGCTGAAGTGCCCAGCCTTATGGACTAAATGTCTACCAGTTCACAGCCTTTCCAGGGTGAAAATGGTCATTGTTAGGCTATCCATACACAATCATGTAGACCAATGTAATATATATGCATATTCATTACAAAATATTACACATATGTACACACATATTAACACATATAGAATATATATAATGTGTGTGTGTTCTGTTCCTCTAGAGAACACTAATCTATCCATTTACCCTTATGCCTACCACAGCAGATATGACAGCAACACAGGAAATTAAATTTATTCTAGAGTCGGGCAGTAGTGGCGCACACCTTTAATCCCAGCACTCAGGAGGCGGAGCCAGGCGGATCTCTGTGAGTTCAAGGCAGCCAGGTCTTCAGAGCAAGATTCAGGACAGGCACCAAAGCTACATAGAGAAACCCTGTCTCAAAAAACAAACAAACAAACAAAAATTTATTCTAAACATCCCACACATCAAGCCGAAGTCCAACAGGGGTACCCATACTGGACGGACTAGGCCACTAGCCTCACCCTGGGAATGTATGGACCTGACTGAATGGGCCTACTAACCTCACCCCTAGGAAAGAATGATGCTTCAGTGGAATAGACCGCAGCAGGCTCTCTACTCAGACGTCCTGTGCCCGTATCTCCTCCATCTCTCTGGGGTCAACAAAGTGCACCCTGGCCTCTTTCCTGTCCTTTCCTGTAATGCACAGTCCTACTCTCAGTGACGTCAGTTCCTTCCTCCAAAAGATCAGCTTTGATGTATCCCCTTTCCTCTTCCCTGAACTGGGTGCATCTCCATTCCTTCTGAAATTAACTGCGGAGCCAGGCATGTGCCAGGCACAGAGCAGGAGGCAAAGGCACCGTGGAGAGTGTTACCCTGCTGCCTTGTGCTCGAGCTGGGACCTCTACACCCTTGCAGCGAAGGCCCCAACTGTGACTCTTGCCAGAAATGACCTCTGCTCTGGCCTCCCTTTTCTTCTCCCAGGGAGCCTGGGCACTTTTTCATATGACTTTGCAGGGATTGTTACCTCCCCAGAGACTCCTCCTCTTCTGAATCTTGTCTTCTAGATTTGCCCCAGGTCCTCGCTCTTTCTGTCCTTACTGGCCGCCCACCGCACCCAGCTGGCAGTCTTGCCTGTGGAGGAACTGTATCTACAAAGTCACCAAAGTCACCACCGCCAGTTCGGACTGCAGACACCACCATCTGCACAGGCCTGTCCCCTTCAAACTGCCTTGACTTTGCAGGCCCTCACAGTGGGCAGCGACAGGCTTTGACGCTTCAACTCCTTCAAAACAACTTTTCTGTGTATCTTACAGTGTGTTTGCTTCCGATTTCCTGAATTTCTGTTCTCATCTTTGTCATGTCCCCCTCTCGATTTGTTTTAATTTAATTTCTCTTAGGCTTCATTTCTGTTGCAGTGATAAAATCCCCCAACAGAGCAACTTAGTGTGTAAAGGGCTTCTGTTGCTTACAGTTCTAGAGGGAGAGAGTCCAGCATGGTGGGGAAGGCATGGTGGCGGAAGTGTGAGGTGGCCCATCTCACTGCAATAGCCATCTGGAAGCCAAGAGGGAACAGGAAGTAGGGGCCGGCTATAAACCTTCAAAGCGATGTGTTTCTTCTAGTAAGGGTCCATCTCCTGAAGGTTTCACACTTTTCCCAGACAGCTGAACCAAGGTTCCAAACACATGAGCCCGTGAGGAGGTAGCATTTCACATTTATTTTAATGCTTCACTAATTTGCATGTCATCCTTTGTGCAGGGGCCATGCTAATCTTCTCTGTATCGTTCCAATTTTAGTATATGTGTTGCTGAAGTGAGCACATTTTTAAAAGATTTATTTATTTTATGAATATTTTGTATAATATAATTATACAATGTTTATGTTATAATGCATAAATATTTTGCCTGTATGCACAGGTAGGTGCACCACATGTATACCTGGTGCTGTGGATCCCCTGGAACTGGAATTAAAGATAGTTGTGAGCTCCCATGTGGATGACTAGGACTTGAACCCCGGTCCTCTAGAGGAGCAGCCAGTGCTCCTAACCACTGAGCCATTTCTCCAACCCCCATTTTACACTCATTAACAACACATTTCATGTGGAGGGCTCTGCAAACACCAGGGGCAGCCGAGTAATGATCCATGAGAGACCAGAAATCATGACTTACTTAGCCAGTGTTGATTCAAACTTCTGGAGTCTCACCCTAGGCAGTTTATTTTACGCATATTTAAGAACAGCACATTTTTGGGGAAAAAAGTTTCCTCGTGATAGATAATTAATTCAATCCCATTAACAACAAAGCTTAAGACATACTTACATTGACACTCTACAGAGTACGTATGGCCTCTTCTGTAGAGATGGGCTCTGTTGACTCAGAAACAGAGTAATGCTCAAGGTAAGGGTCGAGAGAATGACTGAGGTAAACATTATAATTGTCTGTGGAAGTTAGGGTTGGCCTGGCCCTCCAGATAGCACAGAAGTGACCTAGGCTTGTTGTAAAGTACAAGTGACAGCTCCCATAAGGATGGGTTTTATTGACTGAGAAACAATGCTTAAGATAAAGGTCTAGGGAGGAAGAGTCTGGGATGAACAAACACAGTACTCTGGGGGATCCAAGTGTGGTCTGGCCCTACAGATAGCACAGATTCCAGGCTATTAACGACATCCATTCCCAGCTTTCCGGGTGTAAAACAGTTATATGTCTCCTTTCTTTGAAGACACAACCCCGTGTGTTTCCCTAGTGCTTATCTGGGAGCACAAGGACCTCGTGCCCTCTACAATTTCAACTCTTTATCTCCAGTTTTCTAGATGGACATTTAGATCACGTTTTTCAGCCTTGTTTCTCCCATTTCTAATATGTACATTTAAGCCTTTAAAAATTATTTGCTTACTTAAGTTTATGTATATGTGTGTGTGCGCACCTACGTGTTATGTATATGGTATGTAAGAGCCTGCAGAAGTCAGAAGAGGTATCAGATTTTCTGGAATTGGAATTACAGATGTTTGTGACTTGGCATGTGGGTGCTTAGAATTGAACCCTGGCCCTCTGCAAGAGCATTAGGTGTTCTTAACCACTGAGCCGTCTCTCTGGCCCCACACAGTCAAATCTTTAAACACCTCTCTCTCATGGCCTTGGCTGTATCCCACACATTTGATGCCCTCCTTTCAGTGTTAGCTACTCAAAAAAAAAAAAAATCCTAAAATGTGATCTCTCTTTCTCAACTGTGGACTATTTAGAAGTGTATGAGGCATCGTTGATTTTCTTTCCTAAACCCCCCTTAGCTAGAGATTGCATTCTGTATTGATTTCAACTCTCCGATTTAGAGCAAATGAATGACTCACTTTCTGGTCTAGTTAGTTTTTGTGACTGTTTCAATTGCAGTTAAAGACAACATGGGTTGTTAGTTTGGGGTTCAATGTTCTCTGTATGTCACTGTGCCAACCATCTAAAAATCATGATGCACAAAACATTTATATAGTTATTGTTTTTTTTTCTTTTGCCCCCAAGAAAAACTCCTCTGATGATTTTTATTGTTTTATAGTGTCTAATGGAAGATGTTAAATTCACTATAACAATGGATTTATATAATAACTTAAATTTTCTCAATTTCTGACTTATAATTTTTCAACTGTGTTTGAAGTGCACTCAAACTTAGAATTGTCATATCTTCTTGATGGATGAGTTCTTTTATTGTTATTAAATTTTCCTCTTTGTTCTGAGTATTGCTTTCTCAACTAGACCATGCTTATCAGGTAACTGCATAGAAACGTGTAGTTTCATTAAATTAGTATTTTTTGTTTCTTTTATTTATATATTTTAAAGAACTTCAACATATATTAATTGTACAAATAATGTGCTTCCTTTTATTTTCAAATATGTATGTGGTATACCTGACCATCTTGACCCCCAAGCCATTGCTCTCAAGTACCACCCCTGTTCTCTCACTGCTGACCCCAGTGTGCCTGTTCTGCTTACAGGAATTTTTCTTTTAAATACAGATTCTGCATATGAGAAAAAACAAAGTCTTTCTGAGTCTGACTTATTTTACCTAATATGATCTCAAATTCCACCAATTTTTCTGCAAAAGCCATCTCATTCTCTTTCTGAATTACAACGTAGTACATATCTGCCACATTTTCTTATCCATTCATCTGCTAATGGCCATACAGGCTGATTCCATAGTGTGGCTATTGTGCATAGTGCCACAGTAAACCCAGTGTGCTGGTATCTTGATGAAGTACTCACTTTGATTCTTTCATGTACACACTCAAAGGTGTTACAACTATTACAGTAGTTTTCTTTTTAGTTTTTGAGGAACCTCTATACCTGTTTTTTGTGATTTTTACAGTAGTTGTACTAACTACTATTTCTACGTCTTCACCAGCACATATTGACTTTGTTTTCTTGATGATATGTCATTATGGCTAGCATGAGAAGAAATCTCAAGTTGTCGTGATCTGCATTCACCTGATAGCTAAAGATGTTGAGTATGTTTTTATTTGCCATTTGCTAGTCTTTTGAGAAATCCTGGGTTCATTTACCCATTTATGGAGTGGATTAGCTTTTGGTGCTGATTTTTCAGGGGCTCTTTTTTATATTCTGGATAATCCTTCTCTGTTGGTTAACTAGTTGGAAGAGATTTCACCCATTCTAGAGGCTATGTTTTCACTCTTGTAACTGTCTCCTTTGCCATCCAGCAGCCATTTAAATGATGGAGTCCCACTTGTTAATTCTTGTTGCTGTTTCTTGAGCTACTGCATTCCCTCAGGAACTCATTGCCTACCTATCCCTGTTCTTGAAGTGTTTTCTTCTAGCGGTTTCAAAGTTTTAGGCTTTACACTAAGGTCTCTGGCCTCTTTTTAACTTATTTTTGTCTAGGGTGAGGAATAAGGATTGAATTTCATTCTTTGATATGCGGTGCCTGGCTTTTCTGGGAACATTTGTTTAGGAGGCTTGTCTTTATTCCGACGTATGTTTTGTCACATTTGAATAGCAAATGTCTGTGGCTGAGTGGGTTATTTCTGAGCCCTCCACTCTTTCATTGGTTGACGTGTCTTCTTGTGCCAGTACCACACGGGCTTATCTGTTTGATTTTAAATTATTCCTGCTGTGGCTCTCTAGTGTTAGTTGAAATCGGGTGTTCTGATACCTTCAGCTTTTCTGGTTTTGGTCAGGATTACTTTAGCTATTCAGCATCTTTTGTGTTTCCACACACATTTTAGGACTGGTTTTTGTGACTTTGAAGAATGCTATAGGTTTTCTTTTTTATATATAAATATTTTATTTTATAATTAATTTAATTTTACATATCAGCCATGGATTCCCCTGTCCCCCCTCCTCCCACCCCCAGCCTTCCCCCCCAATCCACCCCCCCATTCCCACCTCCTCCAAGGCAAGGTCTCCTCTGGGGATTTCTGCTCGGTGTGGTATATTCAGTTGAGGCAGGTCCAGTCCCCTCCTCCCTACACCAAGGCTGAGCAAAGTGTCCCAGCATAGGCCCTAGGTTCCAAAAAGCCAGCTCATGCACCAAGGACAGGTCCCGGTCCCACTGCCTGGGGATGTCCTCAACAGTTCAATCTCATCAACTGTCTCACTTATCCAGAGGGCCTGGTCCTGTTTCATGGGGACCCCTCAGCTATTGGTTTACAGTTCATGTGTTTCTTCTAGTTAGGCTATTTGTCCCTGTGCTTTTTCCAATCATGGTCATGATACCTCTTCCTCATATAATCTCTGCTCTCTCTCATCAATTGGACTCCTGGAGCTCCACCTGGGGTTTGGCTGTGGGTCTCTGCATCTGCTTCCACCAGTCACTGGATGAGAGGTCTATCATGACAGTTAGGGTGCTCTGCCATCCGATCACCAGAGTAGGTCAGCTCAGACACTCTCTCAACCATTGCTAGTAGTCTATAGTGGAGGTATCTTTGTGGATTTCTGGGGACCTCTCTAGCACTTTGGTTCTTCCTATTCCTATGTGGTCTTCATTTATCATGGTATCTCTTTCCTTGTTCACCCACTCTGTTCCTGATCCAGCTGGGACCTCCTGCTCCTCTAAGCTCTCTTTCTCTTGGATCCTTGCCCTCCATTACCCCACCTTGCCCCCAGTTTGCTCATGTAGATCTCATCCATTTCTCTGTCACTGGGCGATCCCTGTGTCATTCTTAGGGTCCTCTTTACTAGGTAGCCTCCCTGGAGTTGTGAGTTGCAGTACAGTTATCCTTTGCTTTACATTTAGTATCCTCCTATGAGTGACTACATACCATGTTTGCCTTTTTGAGTCTGGGTTACCTCACTCAGGATGATTTTTTCTAGTTCCATCCATTTGCCTGCAAACCTCATGATGTCATTGTTTTTCTCTGCTGAGTAGTAATCCATTGTGTATATGTGCCACATTTTCTTTATCCATTCTTCAGTATAGGTTTTCATTGAGCATATAGATTACTTTAGGCAACATAGTCATTTTCATAAGATTGATTCTGCTGGTCTATGAACACAAGAAGTTTTTCCATCTTTTAATGTACTCTTCCAGACCTTTAATGTTTTAAAATTTTCATTGTAGAGTTTCTACAGCCTTGGGGTTTTTGTTTGTTTTAAGACTTTGTAGGTGAGATTGTTTTCATACTTTATTGTATGTTCATTTTTGGTATATAGAAAAGCACTAATTAAAAATGTATAGTATTTTGCCACTCAGTGCCTTGCCAAGGGCCATGTCTGGGTCCATGGCCCTACCACATCTGGGGTCTGTGTTGATTTCCATGGCCCATGTTACCACCAAGGGCCACACAGATGCCTGGGGTCTGGGCCACCACCTGAGGCCATGT